TAAAACAAGTCAAAAACAAAAAAAGACAATTTGCAGCCAATGGTGAATACAGAATATAGAATGAACACAAAATGTGGCCTAATACACTGATAATTGTTGCTGTTTTGTTCCATAGCTGTTTTTTAAGAAGACAGCTAAGGCTGGTGCTAGAGTAAGGTTTGCCATAATCAAAATGAATTTATTCTGACTATTTTCTTTATCAAAAATATATGCTGAGGCCCCTCGACTTATGATAGAGAAAATATGGTAACAAATAAAACACTGGATACCACAATTTAAAGACATTAATCAACATATTCATCATTACATGCTTTCATAAATAATATGAGGTTATTACGAGAATACCTCAAAGTATGCACGAAGACAGTACAGCTGGAGTATCGACTGACGTGCAGCGGAGGTCAATGCGCAGCGTACTGTCCGAGTGCATACTTTGAGGTATAGTCGTAATAACTTTATTATTATACATCTTTTCCTTCCAAGGATACACCATGGGAATGCCGAAATTCGAAATGTTTAGAACAGAATCAGCAAACTCCTTTGTGTGAAGTCAGGTCAAACTCTGGTGGCAGCCATGTTTGTTTTTATTATTAGAGGACACTTACGCACGTAATCATTCCATATTTGGAATTTGCATTTCCTAATATGGTATGATGAAAATACCCCGTAAAATACCACAAAATTACGCACGCTATAACTTATGGCGTTACAGTGACAGATGTACAATAATAAACTTTAACTAACAAAGAATAACAGAGGTGTGAGACAATGGTGGGTGGGTTTGGGAGGGCGGGCATTGTTACCTTGCGCATTTCAATTCACTTCTAAATCACTCAGCTTTGACCATAAATCAATCAATCACAGATCAATATTAGTAGTAAAATGTCATGAAACTTACATGGTCTAACTCCTTCAATATATTCACTTCCTCTTTCACTGTGTTACTGTTATCCTACAAGTAATAACAAACAAACAAACAAAGAAAATTTATTCTACACATCTCTTCTGTTTGTTCATAGCTTTATTATTTTTACTCAAGAGCAGCAAGCCTGGCCAATAGACTTCAGAAGTATTCTCTTATCTATCTTCTCAGAATATACAAGAAGACTGAACTTACTTTCCGGACACTGCCTCCAATAGAAAAGACTTTTTTCTGGATTATTTTTACAGCAAACTTCTCGCATTTGGTAGTCCCCTTCTTAAAAGCTAATCTGACTTCTCCACAAGCTCCCCTACAGAAAATGATTCACAACATACACATATGGTATTTTGTGTAAAACCTTGTAAAAAATCTCAAATCTAAAGTCTAAATGTGTCATCTTGGATCTGATAATGAGGATGCAATAGCAGACAGTAAGCCATCTTAGATCTGATGACAATGGTGCAGTGGCTGCTAGTCATCCAACTTGGGTCTGATAACAATGCAATAATGGCTGCTGGACAGCCATTTTGGATCTGATAATGACAATGCAATGGCTTCTGGACAACCATTTTGGATCTGATAATGGCAATGCAAATGGCTGGGCAGCCATTTTGGGTCTGATAATGGCAATGCAAATGGTGCGACAGCCATTTTGGATCTGATAATGACAATGCAATGGCTTCTGGACAACCATTTTGGATCTGATAATGGCAATGCAAATGGCTGGGCAGCCATTTTGGGTCTGATAATGGCAATGCAAATGGTGCGACAGCCATTTTGGATCTGATAATGACAATGCAATGGCTTCTGGACAACCATTTTGGATCTGATAATGGCAATGCAAATGACTGGGCAGCCATTTTAGATCTGATAATAGCAATGCAAATGGCTGGGCAGCCATTTTAGATCTGATAATGGCAATGCAAATGGCTGGGCAGCCATTTTAGATCTGATAATGGCAATGCAAATGGCTGGACAGCAATTTTAGATCTGATAATGGCTGTGCATTGGCTGCTATCAAGGTATCTTGGATTTGATTACAATGCAATGGTTGTTAGACAGTCATCTTGAATTTGATAATGAAAACAAAACAGCTGCTAGTCAGCTATTTTCTGTCTGATAATGATGATGCTCACCTGCCTAGTAACTTTGACAGTGTGTATTTCTGTTTCATATCTTGTGGTAAATTTTGCTGATCTCCTTCATTATCCATGTAAACAAATGCCCTGTTTTTTTTGATAGCCAGTGCTATTTCATCATTATTAGCAAGCGCCTGCTTTTTATTTTTGCCTAAAAAAAGACAAAAGTCACATAGAAATCTATCATCAGTGGATTTACATACAAAAACTTTGATTGATTAAGGTTGATTAAGATGTTAATATTGCCATAGCAAATATACATATGCAAATTACATATTATAGTGCAAATTCAATTGTATATGCCCCTCTTGAGAACACATATAATTATTCAGATGGGTATATACAATTAAATTGGGGATGAAGTGTTAAAGGGTTGGTCCTTAGGGAACTCTTTCCAAGAACATACATTTAAAAAATTTGGTTGGCAACTAGTTTATCCAGGGGCCAACTTGTCCTCCTAGGTTTGGCACACTTGAACACCCAGGGGTGGTAAACTTATTTAATCAGGGGTAACTTGTTTACCAAACTAGGGGCAAGCAACTTGTTTACGAAGGAGCAAACTTGTTTACCCAGGGGCTAACTTGCTTACCGAGAGTCAAAAATATACTGCAAATCACTAGAAATGTTAGCTATTTTATAGATTGAGAATGTTTGCAAGACATCATAACTCATAAAGAACCCATGAGGATCACCATGAAATATTTCGTGATTTTTTCAATGATGAAATTATAAGGTTATTTAAAGAATGTGTGGAGGTCGGTGTTTTGATTAGTGAACTATAGAGTAA